GTATTACTTTCCTGTATTGACTTTCTTTGTATCTAACCTGTTTTCTCTGCTGAAAGCTGTTGGGTTTACAGCTACTTTCATTCTCTACAGCAAGTCCAGGCCTATTTCCAATACATCTGTTTGAGGATGAAGAGGCATGACTTCTGAATTTTGCTGACATACCCATCTCCTCAATTTCACAAATGCTGGAGCACCATTTCTAATGAGTAATTAGCATAGGATTATAAAAAAAGCTTCACAATTGGTCAAAAAGAGATTAAGAACTGCCCATGCCTGACTACAGAGGTTAAGCCTCTGTCTTCCTGGGGGAGAGCATTCATGAATGAGGTAAACAATACTAGCTCCCCCATTTATGTATAAGCATTGGCTTTTGCCGAATACTTATCATAACATCGTATTATAATACCATTTCAAGACAACTAAACTTTCAAATCATAATGGTAACACATCCTCACCTTCTTCCAGAGAATTAATAGGAAAACTTCCAGTAAACATTGAATATTGCCAAGAAATGGAATGTGGCTATATTACTGTAATTATTTCTACAGCTCTTGCACACCTTCTACTTTCCCCTTCATTACCAATACTGACTAATTGATTGCACAGCAATTGTTACCACTTCATGGGAAGCAAGTGTCCTATGGTGTAAAATACTGAGCTAACATTGCATCACTGCTTTAGGAATTTACGTAACCTACTAATTAAGTCCTGGAACTGTAAGTTAATTGCTGTAAAGGTTTTGAATATTGCTGTAAGAGCTTGTTTTCCCTCTCTTGAAGTAATACCCATCTCCCTCAAACCTCTGGTACAAGTAGAAAAGATGTTTCCATTCCTCTTAGCAAATGCTCTCCAGGAGTGAAACTAACAACTGGCTTGATCTGATACAGCCCCGATCTCTTAGCATTCAGCAAAGGGAGACTAAGAATGGCATTGGTCTCATTTTCATGTTACTGAACTTTGACAATGTTGTCATCATGGCAGCTTTTACGAAAGCTTTTTTGACATTCTTCGATTAATTCCTGAGCTTAAATTTTATAAGTTGTCCGGTGTTGAGCGTACAATATTAGCAAAATTAAACAAAATAATAACAATTTTTTACATCTCCCACACTCCTTACCAAGCTCAGTGAAACTGACAGTTAAGTACACGCAGAGGACTATTGACAAATACAGCTTGTAAGCTTTAGATATGCAGTTCAGTAAGTGTTTGTGAATGTTTCCGTTATTTTGGAAGCTACACAAATTCCACATTATCACGCATCAACAACCAAGCCTCAAGTCATGAAAGCACATAGTTTTTCCACAGGTATTAAGCCAGATCGGTTCTTCACCCCATGTGTGAGACACGGGTAGCACTTGTTTCATTACTGTTCAGCTTCTAAAATTAGAAAGGTAAATGAACATTGTCTGCACAAAATAAAGAGCAATTTGTTTCCTCGACACCTTCACAAAATACATTCACACCCCTAAAAGTCACTTGCTTGAAGAAGTTGCATGTAAATTACATAGCCGCTTTAGCAATAATCTTGTTTTCATTAAATTTGGTGCAAATTCCACCACTGCTGTCAGTGGAAACAGCGTTTTCTATTCTTGAAACAAGAATTAGGTGAAAGCAAGTGGTGAAACAGCCTTAGTTTGCATTTTCAGCCAGAGATTTGGACATTAGTCATAGCTACAATTTACCTTTTCATTTGACTTGGGTTTTTTTCATAGATTTCAATTCGGCTGATTAAAAGCCAAGTCAGTTTTAAAATGTTTATACCAATTCTTGGCATTTGTACTTTTGCTATGCACTTTTGGTCCACAAACCGACCATGGGGAAAATACCGCTTTGCACGTATAAAACCAAAGCAAACTTCCTGGTGACTGTACACAAGCCTTACCTGCATCATAGTGACCACATGGCAGGGATTCAGGAGGTAAATGACGGTCCTGGTGGCGAACTTGAACCCCACCTCCAGCCCAAAGATAAGACACAGCACCACCAGCAGCACGTTCTTGCCCAAGCTCTCCTGCTTAGCCTGGGGCTGCTGCAGCAGATGACCCTCCAGCTCCCTGAAATGCAGCTGCCTGAGCTTCCCCAGGGACAGAAGGATCTCCACGACGCCCACACTGAGGAAGACCAAACTCTCCAGAAAGCGCTGCTGCCCGGAGAGAAAGGCCGCGCATTCTGGCCCTCCGTTGCCAGCAAAGCTGGGGTCCACACCCCCATACATCCAGTCCAGGAGATTATGGAGGCTGTAACGAGACATGGTGGGACGGTGCCTTCTCTCCTCCCCGTCACTGTCCAGGAGCAGGTAGGAGCAAGATGGAAGCAAAGCCAAAATGCTGTCGGGCTGACGAAACATGAAATGCAAGGACGGCCCCTCCGTAGTCCCCTTCCTTCCCAAGCGTCGGGAGAAGCAAGCAGCTCAGCTCGGGGCAAGGCTGATTTTTGGCGTTTCCTTTCGGCGCCAGGACGAGACCCGCAAGCGGCAGCCTGCACGGAGGGAGGAGCCACCCATGAACGGAGCCCGTGAGCCGTGGCGAAAGCCCCTCGCCTCAGGAGCCCCCCTCTTCCCCGCCTGGCACTATCCGCCCAGCCCCGCCAACACGCGTCGCTCTCCCCTTCC